TAAAATAAGAGAACTGAATAATCTACTCAAGAAATAGTAATAACTGTTACTATTTACCTACCTATGTAACTGTTTATCTACCATCCAGTTACTGGACAGGTAGTATGTATGACAGAATGGGATGGTCAGTTATAAAAGAAGTTATAAAAGAAAATGCTTGGATAAAGTTACTCAATTTGTAAAATAGTGATAAGGATATTTCTTTTAAAATATATTGTTGGTTCAAAACATCTGTTTGTTTTTTGAGAGTATCATGACCTTTACACAGTCACAAAGGTTATCTAAAATGGAGACGTATTTGCTTTCATCTTCCTAGCCAGGTTCAGTCTGTCTCAGCTTCAGTGAGCCAGAAGTGCAGCCACATTTTCATGCTCATTAAAAACATTAACATAAGTCTACAGCTCCTGACTCACCTGTGGATGATGCTCCTGCTTTGGAGATAATCCAGTGCCAGTGCTAGTTCACAGATGAATAGCTTCACAGTGTCCTCTTCAAAACGGACATTTTGCTGCAGGTGATAACGCAAATCTCCTCCAAGAAGCAGATCCACCACCATAAACATGTCTTCTTCATCCTGGAATGAGTACCTGGGAAAGGATAAAATGCATAAGAGAAATACCTAAAGTGGCACATTGGTTGAAATGTTGGGTTGCCAGGGTTCTGCCTCAGGACAACATGGGTCCAAAGCTTTACTGGATGAAAGCAGAGCATAATAAACTATAAAATAGGAACAGTTTCAAAGCAAATAACAAGCAGACAGAAATCTGTGATCTGAAATAGACTCACATCCTATGGTATTGTTATGGCTCTCTGGGTTTCCTGTCTTTGTTGAAATAATACTTTTTAAAAAAGATGCGTTGATATGTCCTGATTATTAATTACTGTGACATTTCTTGTTTTGAAGGCTACCATGATGAATTATTGTTGGAACTGGTTTTGCCTTATTCAGATAACACTCTAAGTTGTGTGATAACATGAAAAAAAAACCAATGCAAACATACGTCTACATATACCTATTTTGTATATTTCAGAGTTAAGCCTTGACACTAGAAAGAAAAATGGTAGAACTGAGTCTTGCTATTAACTCAGTCCTGCTGCTAGTTTCTCATACTCCCTTTCATACATCTTCCCAAAACTTCCTCTCAAGATCTACTCCACAACTTTAAAAAAACAGCAAATTACATGTGGTCTCCCAAAAAAAAAAAAAATCAATACATTTTAGTCTTGGAACAGTCATTGTTTTTGAATACAGAGACAAATGTTAGCTGCTGCCAAGCCAAGAGATTCCCTAAGGAGCCACATAATTAAATACAAGGTAACCACATCATCTCTAAATTGATGGATGAAGCAAGATGCATGAGAATAAGAACCAAAGCAAAAGACTATCCTAGGTTTGGCATGCTGTCTGAAAATTCTGGATGTTGTCATCCAAACACATCTGACTGGCGCAAGATAGTGAAGGACTGCTCTAGAAAATCACCTCTTCAGAATCAGAATCTTATGAAAGAATACATAAACTATCCTAGTATGTTGGTCTTATATTGCTCCCTCAGAACAGGTCATTTTGAGGAACCCAGAGTTCCTCAAAATTTTCAGGACCCCTTGAAATAATAAATGCATTTGCATACCCCCTCCAGTGAACTAATCCGTTTGTTGAAGTTAGGGTTGGGCCATAAATACATATGCTACATAGTTTTAATAATTAAAATATAATCACACATCTCAAAGTTTGCAGGACCGCAATCACCAAATGCAGGTTTCTGGAGGCCAAATGACAATGCTATCAGAACTCACTCCTGTTTTCCTGGGCAAGCCTACTGCTGGTTTATATTGACAAACCAAGAGCAAAGCTTGGAATGAGTTTTGAAATTGCTCTCAGTTTGCCTACACGAGCCTAACTGTATTTTAAGAAAACTTGTAACCCCCCCCCCCACACACATATTGCTTGTAATCTCCATGGGGTCATGATCCACAGTTCGAGAATCCATAATGTAACTCAACAATAAAACACTTCTCAGATTCAGTCCTGGTCATTTCCAGGTTAGAGTAGATATACAACTGCCTAAAATCCTGTAAAATATGGACCAATATTAAGCTAGACTGAGATAAGCAAATCAGTCTAAATTTGGTATGCTTTAACATTAATATTACAAATATTAACAGTTTTCTGCAAATATACACTTGCTACTGGAAAATCTGTATATGATGTTGTACACAATTTCTTGTAATATAAGGTTTTAAAAACACAAATAACCTTTATATAAGTTTTTTAAAATAAAAACCACACCAATCGCTAATTTTTAAAATTCATCACATTCTTATATTTTATTTATTTATTTATTTATTTATTTATTTATTTACTCAATTTATTAGCCGCCCATCTCCCTTTATCCAAGCAACTCTAGGTGGCGTACGACAAGGTTTTAAAAAAAATCAATAAATACATTAGAAAGTATAAAAGTTATTTTAAAAACCAAGTGAAACAGAAAATAATAGAAGAAGGGATGTTAAAAATAACGGAGCCAACTCACTAGATCACTACTGTATATGCTCTTTCCTAGACATGCTTCCCAAATATATACTGCACTGTGTAAAATTTGTAACAAAGAAGAAGAGATGTTAGTAGATTCCAGTCACTGCTGCCCATTCACTCCACGACAAATTCTGATGTATCAAGTCAATTCATTCTTATTGAGAATCACAGAAGATTTCTTTTACATCCCTAGAACTAGATCGGCCAGTGGTTGTACTCAGAAAAAAGCAGTTTCCAATAGCAAAATGGGACAGTAGTCAACCATAGCTGAAGTATACATTTATATTTTTAACAAATTATAATTTGTAACTTAATGAGCTTCTAGATTCATAAATACTTACACATCATGGTAAAAGGTATGAGAAAATTAACACCAAAGAATGTTCCTTACTGTGTGGGACAGTGAGTAGAGGACTGCAGTGTATGAACACTTTTAAAATCATAGTTCATTATAGTTCTTTTGCAATAAATATGGTTCTACTATAGAAAATGTGGACTGTAAAAGTAAAAACAAAAAGGTGTATGTTGCTTCAATACAGAGCAGGACAGCTGTTATAAGAACTGTCTCAAAAAGTATGAGATTTATGGCTCTGCTGTGCCAAGATTAAACATCTGAATTAACTGTTCAAGTGGTAATTCTATAACATAAGTGTTTCTGTACAAGCAGTGTGGCATTATTACAGCCCTTGGAACTGGTATCAAATTAGATTTGTAGTGTGGTTTTTATATCCTGTTCAACAGAGAAGGGTGCAAAAAATCAATCTAGTAGTCAATTGAGTTGTTACATGGTCATAATGTTCTCTACAGGAATCTCCATCAACCTAGAAGTTTTAGGTTGTTTGTCTTTTAAAAAAGGAAAGAGAGAAAGAGCAAACAATTCCTTAAAGTGCAGCCTGCCAACTCCAAATAATTCTTTCCATTACATGCAGGATTGAAAGACTGCTGAGCATCAATGTTCTAAGGTCAGAAAATCAGATAGTTTACTAGTGCATAATCACAGTAGATGGTTTCTCCCCAGGCTATCTCTTTGAATTCATCAATATCACACAGACAAAGCAACTTCCTGAATCTCTACAGTGTAGAAAAAGTCTTCAGGCATATTTATGTGGCTTTAATTCTGGAGAATGGATAGATTCTTACAACTCTTCTGGACTCTGTGACCAGTATATGCACATAGCCAACAGTTGTGAGTACACTATTAACTAAGAGAGAAAATATCTGTTTTCTTGTAAATATAATCCATGTGATCTTTTAAATCTCTTTGGAAGATTAACAACAACAACAACAACACTAATAACAATATAGTTGTCAGGAAAACAAGACAGCCAAAAGAGAGACTACTGCAAGGAACAAACTATATAGAAATTAACAGTAAAAGGGCTATTGCTGATCACTGTGTAAGTAGAGTCGTAAAGAATAAATCAAATTTCCTTTCAGTCCAGCTTGTCTCCTGGAATTCATGGACACATCCATGTAGTTTTCTTGATAATAATACAGAAGTAGGTTGCCTTCTTCTGGGATTTTATTATTATGGTCAGTCACATAGTCAGCCAGATGTTTAGACTGGATTTGCCATTTTTATCCACCTATTGAGTCCTTCCCAAGGACCTGGGATAGGCAGATGGTGTTGTCTGATGGTGTTCAAGTAGCAGGATGTAAGCTGTTCCAAGCAAAGCTGCCTTTTGCAATTGACTGATGGTGATTTTGTCA